GAGGAGAGGGGTTTTGGTGAGGCTACTGCTGCACTTGCTACTTTTCCATCTTTTTATAATCTCTTAATCGCTTAGAAAAATGAACCGAATATAATGGTCCTTTGTTTTCTGTGCATTTTGAAATACGATGTATATTTTCAGGAAATTGGATCCTGGCATGACCGTAACCTTACCTGATCGCAATGAAATTCGCAATTTTTTATCTGAACTGCGTATGCGACTAGTCGATATTCCAGCAGTTAAGCGCGAAATGAGTGTCAAGGAATCCGATCATCGAATATCTGCTCTTTTCAATCTCTCTGAATCCGAAACCAGTGTAAGTTAGAAATGAATTTTCCCTTGTGATTGCTAGGGTTCTCAGCTAAAGGAGCGGTCACGTAAACTTTTGCTGATAATCTCACAGGACGAAAAAGCGAGCTTCTTCTTGCAGGTAATGAAGGAGCTCGAAAGCCTTCGTAGACAGCGTGAACGAGAAGAAGCGATCGACCTCACCAATATTCCTGTTAGTTTTCTTGCTTTTTACCTGCCATTTTCTTGTTACATTTCTTTTGCAAAGACTTCTGGGAATTTTTTCGTTTCTTGTGTATTGTTGATAAGCATTTTGTGGTAACATTTAGGAACCTCTGTGATGATCAATATCTCGAAAAATCCCATCAGCATTTGCAGTTTTTTAGGATGAAGATCGAACAAAATTCAGTGCCGTTGTGCCTGGTTTTGAAAAAGCAGTAAGTGATGAAGCTAAAAAAGCAGAGAGAAGGATGCGGAAGCTTGCCAATCCATTTGCCTCGGATTCGGACGACGAAGATAATGCAGGGTAAGTGGGCGAGTAGCTAGCCTCATTTGTTTTTGAAAGGGAATTTAGTTGTGTTGGCCTGGAACAGAATCTCTTCACAGATAAACTCCTCTCCTTTGTTAGGACAGTGTGAAGTTGTTTAGCAACTAAGCAGGTATTTGTCATCATTTGGAGAAGTAGAACAAACATACCCAAAGTTTTGCTTCAAGACCGTTTTCGCTGTTGAGCTTCTTGTAATTTTCATCTTTTGCAATTCATTTCCCGTTTTGTCGAACTTGAAACTGGTTCAGAAAGTGTACGGCTCACATCTCAGTAGCGCCTCCACCGAGTTCCCCTGTTGTGACTGCTGGTACAGCTGGTGATGGTGCAGTTTCAATCTCGCCGATGGTCGCTGCTCGCCACGAAGAGTTGATGAAGAAACGCCAACAGATCGTTGCCGTTTCACCTCTCAGTGACACTTCACCGTTGAACACTGCTGAACGTGGCAGGTGAGTGGCCGAACAACGAATTATTGTTGTATATCCAGATTAGGACCATTCCCATCTGATTAATTTAAAGGAATTAGAAGTTGTAATTAATTCCCTTTTTTTCTAATAATACATTTGGATTCCGCAAGGGGTTTTTGCGCGGATAACCAATCAGGAAAATGAGTGGCAGGATGGCTACCTGACGATGCAAATTAGGTTTCTGCAATCTGCATCGTCAGGTGGCTTCCCTGACGAAAGGGTTTTCTTTTGCTGCGGTAGCTGCACGAAGGTGCACTACTTTAATTATGTGATAGGCCATAGAATTCTACAGCTCACTGTCTCGTAGCTGTTTTTTTTTTTTATTTTTTCGCGTTTAGGCAGCTTTTGAGTAGTGGCTAAGTTCCAGGCGGCATCGCGAAGAAGCGCGACGTCTGATGAATGATGCGGCTCTGGATGGCGCCACATTGCTGCTTGGAGGAAGCAGTGCACCAGGCACAACACATCATTCTCCAGCAGGTTTGATTCCCAGCATTTTGTCTGAGAGGGAGTTAAATTTAGCGAATTCCCTCAAGTGAACTGAATGTTTTTGCAAGCTGAGTGATGACGACCGTGATGTTCACTTTCCAGTTTCTTACACGCAGTGCATGGCTTGAACAGTGTCGAGACATCGTGAAAGTGTCTTAGCTTTGATATTTTTTATGCTAAAATATGGTACTTTTTTACATCAAAATCCCATGGAAATGATACGAGTTAATTTTTTTTTTTTCTTTGTGAGAAATGAGTTAGTCAGAAAGAGGTAGTAATATCTGTTCTGTTCACTGTGAGAGTTTAAGACCGCCTCCGCATTTCTATGAAATGATTAAGATTGATCTATGTTGGCGTGGAAGGGTTAAGGTCAATCTTATCACTGGCCCAAGTTTTTGTTTTTTTCTTTTCTATTA